TAGTCAGTAGTCGCTTAGGGCGGGGTAGGATAAAGAGGCTAGGGGTAGTAGGGAGGAGAGGATATGGAGTTTCTTTTGGAGATGATTAAAATGTCTTAACATTGATTGTAGTTATGATTGCATATATCAGTAAATATACTAGAAACATTGAATTGTATACACTAAGAAGTTGAATCATATCATATGTGAGTTACATCTCAATAAAAGCAGTTAGAAAGTGAGACAGTTGACCCTTGCACAGCATGGGTTTTAAATTGTGCAGGTCTGCTTACACAGACTTTCCTTGATAAGTACAGTGTATTTTCTCTTCCTTATGCTTTTTTAAGATTTTTTAATTTATGCTTTTCTTAATATCTATTTTATTGTAAGAATACTATATAAAATGTATATAAGATAAAAATATATGTTAATCGAGTATTCATGTTATCAGTAAGGCTTCTGGTCAACAGTAGGTTATTAGTAGTTAAGTTTTGGGGGAGTCAAAAGTCAAAAGTTATACACAAATTTTTGACTGCACAGTGGTTGGTGCCACTAACCCCCAGGTTGTCTGAGGTCAACTGCTCATAGTGTTGCATTGCATTCATTGACATTCTCCAATCCCCCAGGGTCTGATGAATTAATTCAATTCAATGAAAGTCATAAGGCATCTGTCATATGCAATACACATTGCACCATCATTGCAAGAGATTAAAGATTAAACAGCCTCTACCTTTAAGGAGATTACAACACTAGGGGGTTGATGATATAGTAAAAATAACTATAGTGATGATGATGATGATCATGACGGTAGGAGGAGGAAAAGGGGAATTAATACTCACTATGCATTTACTATATGCCAGGAATTGTGTTAAATGCTTTAAATGTAATTATGTCGTATTCTCATTACAATCCTAAAGATATATGTTATTAGTTTTCTGACACTGTATCTAAGGAAATTGAGGTACAAAGATGTGAACTCAGGGTCATATATCAAGAAATGAAGAGTGAGAATTTCAATGTAATGCTTAGCCAAAAGCCAGTGCTTTAAACCACTAGAGCCCATAAGTACATAATTATTTAATACAAGATAGATTAAGGTGTTATTATAGAATCAAGTAAAAGTGATGAGCCATTTGAAGAACACATCCTATTTGCAGCTCAGGAAAAATTAGCAGTCAGTCCAGTTCTAAAATACATATGTGTTTTTGAATGTCTGACTACAATTTTCATGACTCATAAAGTAGCTATAAACCTACACTACAATATTTTTTGTAAAATAAATAAGATCAAACAGAAAATGACTACAGAGTTACAATGTGCAACTTTCAAAGGTGCAAATTTCTCCTCAGAAAAAGTTATAATAAACAAAGAAACTATTACAAGATCCAAAACCAGATAACGCATTTTATTCACTCTTCTTAATTTCAATCTAATCCCTTGTCTTCAGCCTGAGATCTTTTTTTTTAAAGATTTTATTTATTTGTCAGAGAGAGAGAGCACGCATGAGCACACAAGCAGGCAGAGTGGCAGGCAGATGCAGAGAGAGAAACAGGCTCCCCGCCAAGCAAGGAGCCAGATGCAGGGCTGGATCCCAGGACTCTGGGATCATGACCTGAGCCGAAGGCAGCGGCTTAACCCACTGAGCCACCCAGGCATCCCTTCAGCCTGAGATCTTTAAAATTCTTTTTGTGCTCGTGATTACATTCCTAAACTAGATTGTATTGATCTTTCCCCTCTACTGTTTGTTGATTTTCTCACTGTTTCTCTTCCCATAGCCAAAGTTAGTTGAATATTATGGCTAAAGATATTCCTTTTTTTTTTTTTAAATTTGAAATCCAAGTCCAGTTAGTTAACATACAGTGTTATATTAGTTTCAGGTATAAAATATAGTAACTTAAAACTTCCAAACAGCACCCTGTGCTCATCAAAAGTGTACTCCTTAATCCCCATCACCTATTTAACCATCCCCTCACCTACCTCCCTTCTGGTAGCTATCAGTTTGTTCTCTGTAATTGAGAGGTTACTTCTTGGTTTGTCTCTTTTTTTTCCCCTTTGCTCATTTGTTTTGTTTTCCAAATTCCATGTATGAGTGAAGTCACGTGGGTGTCTTTCTCTGAGCAACTTATTTCACTTAGCATAATACACTCTAGCTCCATCCATGTCATTGTAAATGGCAAGATTTCATTCTTTTTTGTGGCTGAGTAATATTCCATTATATGGAATATATATGGAATATAATGGAATAATTATATATGATACACACACACATCTTTTTTATCCATTCATCAGTTGGACATTTTGGCTATTCCATAATTTAGCTACTATAGATAATGCTGCTATAAACATTTGGGTGCATATGTCCCTCTGAATTAGCATTTTTGTAACCTTTGGGTGAATATGTAGTAGAGCCATTGCTGGATAAGGTAGTTCTATTTTTAACTTTCTTATGAATCATATAAGCAAGTCACTAATAAAAACTTCAGTGCTTTTCACATAAGGGATAAATTATTTTGTTTTCAATCTGGAGGCTACATATTAATTGTTCACATAAATCTATTTAATCTATTGTCCTTTACATATTTCCATATTGCTTTACCATATCATCTATACTTACATCTAAAAAAAATAGCATTCCTCTTCCTTACCAAGTCCCCAAGAGTGCTTTTAAAAATTCCTCCCTGAACAATTTACAGGAATATTATTTTGGCTGTAATCAGAGAAATAATGAAATAGTCTTACTTTCCAACAGTCAGCATTGCTGATAAGCATAAAATGTTATGCTAAACCACTCTCTTCCTCATTTATTACATAAAAACCAAAAAACAAAATAACATTTCCTTCTACTATGGCATAAATGTTCACCTCTGAAACAATCTGAAGAAATATGTGAGAGAAGATCCATGAATTATTTTATGTAAATAACAAAACAGACATTCTAGAATGCTATGGTAGTAAATTAGGCTTGGTGATGCTATGGTAATAAAAAAAAAAGACCCCAAATCTCAGTGGCTTAACATATAACAGTTTATTTCTTACTCTCTAAAGGTTCACAGCAAGTCCATCAACTCTCCAGGGCTGAACCCTAATAAACAGTAACTTAAGAGATACAGTCTGCATCCATCTTGTAGGTATACCATTTGGAGTACACTGAGAGAGCTGGAAGGTCATGCAGGACATTTCGCTGCTCCATTATGAAATGACACCTTATTTCTGTTTACAATTTCTGCAATCCCTCTGCTAGAAGTAGTCAAATGGCACTGCCTAACTACAAGAGGCTGGGAAGTGAATGGGAGCACACAGATATTTGGTAAGCTGTTAATGTCTTTGCCATATTCTACAAATAATATAAGCTTTTTTCATATTTTAATGAAAAACAATTTTGGAAAACTCTATGTGGATATAAAATATCCCTTAAGTATATTTTTATCAGCAATTATTTTTTTTAGCAAACAAGTAAAATTATGAAACTTTAAGATGATCTAACATGACATTACATTTATAATGTTTCAAGAGCATTTCTGAGAGATTCCGGCATTTCAACTGCAAAAATTTGGGAAGCCAATATTTATTTACTTGGTGTTCTCTATCTTTATAATAACTTTACCTTTGATTCAAGGGAGCTGATATGAAATCAGCTATTAAAAATTTATTGATTCTCTCATCATGCCAAAATACTTTGTAAATATGACATTATAATTAGCACATCCTCTGTAACAGGTAGTTCTTTCTGAGACATCAATTGATTCATATTACTCTGATATATCAATATGTAAAATAAAAATAATTCTTTCAACTCATTTCAGCATTAGTGGTAAACAAGCATGAGGCACCAAATCTTAGTAAAATATGACAGGAAGATCAAAGGTGTCATTATGTCCTAAATTGAATTCCTATTTTAATCCAATACTAATGCTTAACACACTGAGATTTAAAGAGCATACTTACTAAGATTTTGGCAGTAGTTTTATGTAACAAGACACATAGCGTACTAGAGGTCTGGCACTTAACTTGCTTACAATAAATAAGCTTCAATATGAAGGCATTAAATATTTTTTCAAAAACCTTCTTTTTACATGCTAAGTATTTTGTCAAGTGTGCAATTAAACCTAGTAATGAAATATAGTAAGATTAGGAAATTACAAACTTGTATCCTAAGCATAAATCACATAAAAAGGATTACTGGTTATGTAGAATATCCCTGGATAATCAAAAATTAATAGTATAAAACATGCAAAATATTTTGGAATCTTTATTAATCAAAAAATACCAGGGCTTATTTAAAATGATTCCCCTCTAAAGGGTATCAAAGTTAATTCAAATAAGGTAACACTCTAATGCTAAACATTATTCAGTACTGTTGAAGTGGAGGTAAATTTCATAGAACTGGGGGCTTACTTATCCTTCCTGTCTTCTTGTTCACTTAAAGCAGCATACAACATTCCAGAATTTCACTAAATAAGAAAAGAATGGCTGCTGCCCTGGCAAAAATAGGATGTGTAAATATCAAAGGCACACTATTCAGCTAGCCAAAGTGGTAGCGAACTCTTTTTCCCCCACAAGCCCTTTCCCCGTGTAAACTAAAGTTTATTAAGAAGTAAAATAAATTAAACTTCAAAAGTAAGGATTCTGAGACATCATTAATTATACGTTTCAAAAATGTCAACTATAGCTGTCTGGATATTTCTGATTATATTTTAAAGATATATCCAAAAGCAGATGGACATTCAGGGAAAAAAGAGAGAGGCAAACCAGGAATGAGAATGTTAACTGTAGAGAATAAACTGAGGGATACTCTGGGGAGGAGGGGAGGGGATGGGTTAAATAGGTGATGGGTATTAAGGAGGGCACTTGTGATGATTGTTGGGTATTGTATATAAGTGAGGAATCACTAAACTCTACTCCAGAATCTAATATTACACTGTGTGTTAACTAACTGGAATTCAAATAAAACCTTGGGGAAAAAAAGATATATCCAAATTAGATATTTTAAAATTAGATATATTTGGGGGCTCAAAATTATTCTAAAACATTTTAATTAAATTCCAAATGTTTTAACTACTAGCAGGAACAACAGGGTTTTAGCTCTCAGAAGAATTAACCATTGGAAGGGAAAACACACACACAAACAAAATTATATATTTATGCTCCAGGCAATGGTTATGGCCCTTTCTGGCACAGTGGCATATGACTGGCACTCAGTCAGGAATAATTCTACAAACAAAGGGAAATTCATGCATTTTTTAAAATATTCCCTAACATTCACAGTTGATATTTCCTTAAATTCTTGCTTTTTTAAATAGGAAATCTTATTTTTTTTTTTGTTATCCTGACTTGTGACTTGAACCCGACTTCTTTTTCTTCTTCTTACTATGTTTCTTGTGCTGTTTCTTCTTCTTCTTCTTTGCTTTATCTGTCGATTTTTCTTGCTCTTCATGTCTTCTCTTCTTTTTTGCTTGCACTTCCTCTTCGTAATCTGATTCTGATGAGGACTCTGATGATGAGGGTTTATCTTCAGGATAAGTCTTCTTTCTTTTTTTGCTGAGACTTCTAATATACTTTTCTTTCTCTGTGCCATCCTTTGACTTCTTTTTCTTTTTCACAGATTCCTTGGTCTCTGATTCAGATTCATATGTAGAGCTTTCTGATGATTTATATGAATGGTTCTTCTTTTTCTTTCTCTTTTTTCCTTGTTTTTTTTCCTCATTTTCAGAATCAGAACTGCGTGAAGAATCAGAGCTTGATGAAGAAGATGAAGACTGACAAGATTTCTTCTTTTTCTTTTTCTTTTTTTCTTTTTTTTTAGAAGAGTTCTCATTTCCACTCAATAATTTCTCTCTACTTTTTTCTAATTCTTTTTTCCAATTCTCATTCATTTTTTCTTCAAATTCAGCTAATGCCTTGGAGCATTTCTTTTTATTTTCTAATTGTTTCTTCACTTCTTCCCAGGTGGGCCTTGGTCGATTCAGATAATCTTGTATTGTTGGGCCTGTAGATTGAGTCTGGCCCCTCCATCTGGCCATTGCTATAGGATTCATATAGGCCACTCGATTATCTCGCTTCCCCATGGTGCCTGATCGTTCCAAGAGCAGACTCTCAATGCCAAGAAGAATAAAGATAAACTATCCTTTGGTTCTTCACCTGCTGGTATATCAAGCAGGCTCCATTCTGTTAGAGAAGAAGAAGGAATGGTTACAAAATGCCTTTAATATGAGACAAAATAAACACATAAACTTAATTGTTCATCAGTACCAATCAGTATAGTATAGTAGAAATTTTCAAAATCTTAGACCTTTGGAACAAAGAATATGCACATTTAAGACTTTTGTATACTTAAGATATTGTGGTATGAATATAACATACAGTATTTTTTATACCTCATGTAAGGTTCTGACTTACTTAATTTTTAAATAAATATTTCATTTTATATGATACTGCTTTTCTTTCTTTCATTTGGCCTTATGTAGTATAAAAAGAAATAAATTTCTACAGCTGAATTCTGTATGAGGCAGATCTCCTCCACCTTAACAAAGTGCAGCACAATCCACTCTGACAGAAACCTAGGAGTCATACCTGAAAAATCCTGTCCCTCAAGTCTTATATCTAATCCATTACTATATCCTGTTGTTTAAGCCTTGACAATAGGTCTCATATCTATTCACTTTTTTCCAAATATATTGTCACCAATTTAGTACAGATGCCATCATCTTTCACTTGGACTATTAATCTCTATTATCAATTAAGTATTATCTGCCAGGGACTGCTTAGTGTTTTGTAACAGATTTTCTCATTTAATCTCTTGACTAATTCTATGAGGATGATTATATTATTATCCCTATTTCACAGATGAAGAAACTGAGTCTTAGAGAATTTGAGTAACTTGCATAAACTAACAGCTAAAAAAATTTCCAAACTAGGATTTAAACCAAGGCATCCTGACTCCAAACCCCGAACATCTAACGTAACACTATATTGTCTCTTTACATCAACCTCTTAATTGATACCTTTATTTCTACCCTTACTCTCTTCAATTCCAGCCCCACACTACAACCAGTTGGTCTTAAAATAATACAGTGGTTTTATATTTTAATGAGAGTAAAATCCAGACTCCTATAAAAGTCTTATATGATCCATTTTGTTTCTTTTTATTAGTTTTTAAATTTTTTAAAAAATATTTCATTTATTTATTTGGCAAAGAGAGATAGAGAGAGAGAGAGAGAGAGCCCAAGTAGGTGGAGCAGTAGGTAGAGCAATAGGCAGAGGGAGAAGGAGAAGCAGACACCCTGCTGAGCAGAGAGCCTGATGTGGGGATCCATCACAGGACCCTGGGATCATAACCTGAGCTGAAGGCAGACACTTAACTAAGCCACCCAGGGACCCATCTCTCTTACTTTCATCACCCCTTTACTCAATTCTATCTTTTCTTATCTTCTCTTGGTTTCTGGAACATGATAAGCTCCAAGCTTAGCCATCATGGCCCATGCTACCCCATTCTTCAAGTCTCAGCTTATTTATTTATTTATATGTATGTATGTATGTATTTTTAGAGGGGGGGTGGTCAGAGGGAGAAAGAGAATCTTAAGCAGGTTTCATGCCCAGAGCAGAGGCCAATGTGGGGCTTGATCTCATGACCCTGAGATCATTACCTGAGCTGAAATCAAGAACTGGACACATTCCAGAATGGCTGCACAAGCCTGCAGGATCCAGCAATTGCACTACTGGGTATTTACCCCAAATATACAGATATAGCAAAAAGAGGGGCCACATGCACCCCAGTGTTCATAGCAGCAATGTCCACAATAGCTAAACTGTGGAAGGAGCCAAGATGTCTTTCAATAGATGAACTGGATAAAGAAAATGTGCTTCATATATACAATGGAATATTACTCAGCCATCAGAAAGGATGAATACCTACAATTTGCATCAATATGCATGTAACTAGATGGTATTATGCTAAGTGAAATAAGTCAAGCAGAGCAAGATAATTATCATATGGTTTCACTCATATGTGGAACATAAGGAATAGCACAGAGGACCAAAGAGGAAGAGAGGGAAAACTCAATGGGAAGAAATCAGAGAAGGAGACAAACCATGAGAGACTCTGGACTCTGGGAATGGTTACAGAAGGGAGGGGGGTGGGAGGATGGGTAACCGGGTGATGGGTATTAAGGAAGGCATATGATGTGAAGAACATTGGGTGTTATATGCAACTAAGGAATCATTGAACACTACATCAAAAACTAATATGTTAGCTAACTTAAATAAATAAATAAATAAATAAATAAATAAATAAATAAAATGCTTAAGAAAAAAATTGGATGCTTAACCCATTGAGCCACCCAGGTGCCCAGGTCTCTAAATGTCAATTCCTCAGAAAAGAAACTATTAGGTGGAACTACATAAAATTGCCAATTATATGGGACAGAACAGTTACCAGCCACTTCATAAGTATCAACTTTATATTAAAGCATGTTGCCTTTGTACCTTTCCCCATACACATTATTCTGTATTACAGTTCCTCATATCTTTTATGCACAACACTTATCAAACTGGTGATTATTTCATTTGTCAGATTATTTGAATGTGTGTGTGTGTGTGTGTGTGTGTGTGTGTGTGTCCACCACTAAATATAAGGCCAAGAAGAGTAAAGGCCATGTTTAATCTTTCTTATTCAGCATGGTGCTTTTAGTATCTAGTATGCCATGTGGCTCATATTAAGTATTCAATAAATATTGGTTCAATAATAAACAAAAACATGGATAGATGGGTTTATGGCTCTGGGAGAAAGGACATTTAGAGAAGCTTCCTAGAATTGGTGATGTCTGTACAGGAGTTTTAAAGAATAAAAGTTCACCCTGGAAATGAAGACATGAAGAACATTCCAGGCAGAGCAAACACAATGTGGGAAAAAAAAAAAAAACAAAACAGGAATATGAAAGAGCACCATGTGTTCATGTTGATGGAGTTGATGGAGTCTAAATTTCAAAAAAAAAGCAATGGCTAGAAGTAAGGCTACATAGAGAGGAAATAGCCTGATCACAGAGCCCCTCTAAAATATATAGTTGTTAGGAAGCCAACAAAGTCCTTTAAAGAAAAGAAAAAGATGATCAGGTATATCATAGTTTTTCTGGACAGTTTCCATCCTGATTCTGACCCTTTAAATCAACCAAACATATGTACTCATAATAAGCTCAATGTCAAAGATGTTACAATGACTCTTGGTGATAGTTTCCTGCATTTAATTGTTGTGTTCATGATATTATTCTCCTTCCCTTTCAGTTCTGTTCAGCTCCTCTTAGTTCTTTCTGTCATTTTCATTCTGACTGATACTCTAAATATTTATCAGATATTATTGTTTCCCTGACATTATAAAAAGCCCTTAAAAACTTTAGTTCATATTCAGCTTGCTTGTTCTCTTGCTACTGGACACTTAGAATAGCATAATTCATTCTAACTTCAGTTCCTTGAGACCTAGTCCTGACATCATCTAGAAAGACAGGCAAAGAGAAGTTCATAAAAACTTTGGATGTGATTCTAAGGATGTTGGAATTCATTCTATGAGACTTAAAGTGAAGTTAATTGGGAGATAATGCTTATTTTAAATAGAATGATATGGCCATGTTTGAGTGTTTATGAAACAATTTTTATAGCATGGAAGTTGGATTGGATGCAAGTAAGAATGAAGGCAATGAGATCACTTACGTATTCATGCAGACAGGAAGTGAAAGGGCCTAAAATAAAATCAGCAGAATTTTGAATAGAGAGGGGAATATACATGAGAAATGTTGATGTGATTACACTAAAATTAATGACTAATTGCATACAAAGGGTGAGAATGGGAAAGGATCTGACAAACACAGCATCCATTTTGATAAAAGTCCTCAACTAATATATTATATTATATTATACACAACTAATATAATCCTCAGTGAAGTAAAACAAGAACTTTCCCCCCATGGTCAGGAAAAACACAAGGATGTCCACTCTCACTATTATTATTTAACACAGCACTGGTAGTCATAGTCTCAGCAATCAGACAACAAAAAGAAATAAAATGTATCCAAATCAGGAAAGGAGAAGTCAAACACTCACTATTTGTAGATGACATGATACTCTATGTAGAAAACCTGAAAGACCAAAAAATTGCTAGAACTCACGTACCCATTCAGCAAAGTCACAGGATACAAAATCAATGTACAGAAATCTGTTGCATTTCTAGACACCAATGATGAAACAGCAGAAATAGAACTCAAGGAATCAATCCATTTCCCAATTGCACCAAAAAACGTAAGATCACGAAGACTAAACCTAACCAAGGAGGTGAAAGATCTGTACTCTGAAAACTACAGAACACTTATGAAAGAAATTGAAGAGGATACAAAGAAGTAGAAAAACTTCCCATGCTTATGGATTAGAAGAACAAACATTATTAAAATGACTATACTACCCCAAGGAATCTACACATTTAATGCGATCCCTATAAAAATACCACCACGATTTTTCATAAAATTAAACAAACAATCTTGGGGAGCCTGGGTGGCTCAGTGGGTTAAGCCTCTGCCTTCGGCTCAGGTCATGATCTCAGGTTTCTGGGATCGAGCCCCGCATCGGGCTATCTACTTAGTGGGGAATTTGCTTCTCCCTCTCTTTCTCTGCCTGCCACTCTGCCTACTTGTGATCTCTCTCTCTCTGTCAAGTAAATAAATAAAATCTTAAAAACAAACAATCCTAAAAATCTGTATGGAACCACAACAGGCTCCAAATAATCAAAGCAATCTTAAAAAAGAAAAGTAGAACTGGAGGCATCACAAATCTGGATTTCAAGCTATATTACAAAGCTGTAATGATCATGACAGTATGGTACTGGCATAAAAGCAGACACATAGATCAATGGAACAGAATAGAGAACCCAGAAATGGATCCACAAGTATATGGTCAACTAATCTTCAACAAAACAGAAAAGAATAACCAGTTGGAAAAAGTCTTTCAACAAATGGTGCTGGGAAAACTGGACAGCAACATGAAAAATGATTAAACTTAACCACTTTCTTACACCATACACAAAAATAAATTCAAAATGGATTTAAGACCTACATATGAGACAGGAAATCATCAAAGTCCTTGAGAAGAATGCAGACAGCAACCTTTTTGAGATCAGTCATAAAATC